CTTAAATACAAGTCTTAACCAATCAAATTATGAGACAAGCAAATTTTAATGAATTAAATTAATATTAATTAGCATTATTAAGAGACCAAATTTTATGTTTTTGATGGTGAAGATTCTAATGATGATATTAGTTTCTCAAAATTATAATTAATTTTTAAGATACTTAATAATTCTACAATATTCTAGAAAATTCTATAAAACTATCTAAAGTAGATACCTAACTACCATGTGATTAAAATGAATTGAAAGCTTAAAAATTAAGATAATTAAATAACTCAACAAAATTCTAGAAAGTGGACACCTCATCACCATGTGATTAAATAGATTGGAAGGTTAACCATTAAGATATTTAAATAATTCAAAAGAAAAATATAGATAGTTCTATAAATATCTACAACATAGATGCCTAATCACTATGTGATAAAATATCTTAAGAAATATCAAGAAATATTTACAAATCTAGAAAATTTGAGAATGGAGGTAGAGACTAGTACAAATAGGAGAAACTACACTAAAAAGCTCACCGACAACTTTTAACAAGACATAAACCAACCCAAACAAATACCAAAAAATACTCCATCTTTTTCACAACCAACGATGAAAACAAGTAGTAAACAACTAAAATCTCAAGAGAGGAAGAAATGAAAAAGATAAGAGGAAGAAAAAGAAGTAGGAAAAGAAGAAATCAAGAAAATTAGGAGAAAACTAGCAAGCATGGAGAAATAGATATATATTTGATGTTTAATTTTATTCATGTTTAAATAGATGTAGAGTAAGTCTTGATCATTACTTCTCAATTTTGATGTATGGAATCTTGGGCTAGATAATATGTTTATTAATTGTACTTATTGATAAATTGGATGTTTTAAGGTTGAATCTTGATGTAGTTGATTGTTTATGATTAGATGTTATAATTAAAATTATTTGAATTGTTATTTAAAAAATTTGATTGAGAATGATTTTTGTTTAACAATAATGATGACACTACTATATCCATATATGTATGTATAATAAAGGATGGTCATGATAATGGTAAAAAAAAGAAACTTTAAAAAAGGATAATGCTTAATGCCATTAGAAAAAAACTTTTATAACAATAGATATTGAATGTTATATAATTTGTTTAAATTTAGATCTAATAACTCAACACAACCCACTCTATTATTGATTAGATTAGTTCGAATCGGATTTGATAAAAAATTTGCAAATATAACTCAATCTAACTCAAATTAAAAAACTACATAACAGGTTTAATGAAATCCAACCCAAATGACCTATGGACAACCCTTCTGAGCATCGAACATGGTGCGTGAATGATACAGATCTCCTTCATACCCGTGTTTGATTCCCATGAATAAAAAAAGAGAAGGAAATAATCTACAAATAAAATCAAAGAAATAATGTTTCACATTCTTCAACAAAATAAAAATAATAAAAAGAAGAAATAATCTACAAATAAAATCAAACAAGTAATGTTTCACATCATGATTATTATTCCCAACATTTTTAAGGAAGACCACAGATTTATTAAAACAAAATAATTTATTTTATTATTTGCTAAAATAAATATAAGAATTTAATATCACAAAATTTTTTATTTATGACTTAATATTCTGTTTATAATTTTTCCAAATAAAAATATATAGACAACAATAAATAAACATTTAAAATATAAATATGTAATCTAAAATACGTTATTTCTTTATCTATAGCAATTATGTAAAATAATTATTTAAACAAGTTTAACATCAATTTGTCAAATACAATTATAATATAAATAAAAAAGCATATTTTTAAATTTTAATATCATAACGTGATTTAGATGGATTAAATATTAATCTAAAAGAGGGAGAAAATAAATAATAATTATTTTTTTAAAAATGTGGATTTTAAGAAATAAGTATACACATACTTTTTGTAGTAATCTTTTTAATAGATAATAGGCAAGAAATTAACATAGTTAAATAAAAATTAATTGTAAATAAAAATATGTATTTTTTTTTTTGAAAAATATGCATATTAGTTGAAAAGAAGATACAAATATCATGAGTTGTGTAAATTAAATTTTTTATTTTTGATAAATAAAATAAACCTTATTAATTCTTAATTAAATAAGAATTTAACATATGCAATAAAGTTCTCTCTTTGTAACAATTAGCACTGCTGTTTAAAAAATAGAACCTTGCTATTTGGTATGAAAGATATGCTAAAATGTTTCGTATTATCTATTATTTTTTTTCACCTTCAAAATACCCGTCTTTCTTTCGTCCATTTATAAAAGAACTCGAATATTTTTAACGTCATAACTTGATTTAAATTTACTGTCAATTTGTTCAATTCATTTTGCAACTTATGAATAAGCGTAATAAAAACGTAAAATTCTCTTAGTCCAACGTATGAAAGATCACATCTAACAAACTTCACGAAAAGTAAGTATAAAGTTCACGAATCACAATCACAACAATTTGTGGTTTAACATTGACTTAGCTCATGTTTAGATATGCGTTTGAAAAAAACATAATCATAATATTTTACTTTTCAAAATAAAATTTGAGAAACAAGAAAGATGTTGTTTTAAGTTGAACAACGTTTAAAATTTTTCAACGCTAAATCGTTGGTCTTTCTGCATGTTGACTGCTGGTCTGTCTGTATTATTAATTATTTTTTCCAATTCTTTGAAAGATGTGATGTGAGGAGGAGTCAATGTGTGGGCATGCAGGAGAGATGAAAAATAAATAAATTATATTTTAAGATTAAATATTTGTCTCCTCGATCTATATATATATATATATATATATATATA